CAGAAATGAAGTTACATGTTGGATCACGAATCTGACCTTTCTTTTGAAGATAACATTAATTAATTTTAAATTAAACTTTTTATCTTCAAAAGAAAGGTCAGATTCGTGATCCAACATGTAACTTCATTTCTGCAATAAAATTCGCAACATTTATGAGTGATTTATTTGCTTTTTATTCTTTCACAATACAGAATTTCAATCATCATGCTTGTCCTTTTGTTGAGTACTTTATTGTTTCTACTGCTGAGAGGTAGTTGTCAAATACCAACATGTAGCGGAGGATTACTCTGTCCTGATAATGGTATTTGTTGCAATGGTATCTGTTGTCCATTTGCTAATGGCAAATGCTGCTCAAATGTGCAGGCATGTTGTCCATACAACTACAGTTGTCAAAATATCAATGGCACAGACATGTGTGCTCTCAATAATTTGGAAACCACCATGGTACGAAAATCTGTTTTCGAAACTTTCGAAACAAACATCAAATTAAAATATGTTTTTCAATACATATGGAAATATCGTGGGGATGAAACGTACATCTTTATACCATTAGAGGAGAAAGTGAATCAGTTATGTTGGCAAGAAGCATCAAAAGTTTATTGTTCAAGTTTGCAAGTGATGCAAGCCAGTCAGAGCTGTTACGCCAAGCTTCCAACACTATACTGTGCATTCGTGGTTGATGAATGTTTTGAAATACGGAAGAGTATTGGCAATGCTTGTTATCCCAGTGAAAAAAGCTGTGAGAATCCCGTATATGACACTTGTTCATGGTATGGTAATTGTCTTGAGCAAAAGAAGAGTTGTGGTAAAAATGGATATGCTGTAAATTATGGGCTCCGATATTGTCAAAAATTTGCTCAAAATTTAGCAGAATTTTCATTCGCTGGTAAGAATTGGGTGAGTAAAACAATGAACTGTCTCCAGCAATCATTGGTAGAAGCCTATCAAGATGATACAGTTACATGTGATGATATTACGAATGCTGCATTTGATTCTCATGCAAAGTGTTATGTGAACAGCGGTATTTGTAGTTTGGTTTTACAATCGGCTGAAAACGTGTTTCGTGATATGAAAGCATTAGGAAGTGTTTATGATTTTAAAGATTTTCTCAGTTGGAAAGCACTTAAACAAATCGATGAAACAGCATCAGCCTGTACAGAACAATCTCCATATTTAGTACTACTCAAATTAATTTTACAATAATTACATACTTTGACGCTGCTAATGCAACGGGCTAATGAAACACAACAAGAATTTTGTATTAGGTTGAAACAAAACGAATCTATTTGACTTGTCTTCTATTTCGAAAGAAAACAGAAATTTTATCTTTACTGGCAAAAACTTTTATATGCTTTGGTAGTGTGTTTAAATAAAATCGATTTAATAGTTCTTGAGGTCACTTTTCTTATCCGACATACTTGTTCATTGAAAATGTTCTTCTTCTTATTTTCAAACACAACTTACATTCACTAATGTGCCTATATAATGGAATTTGTTTTTGTTTTATTTTGGCAATTAATTCAAGAGATGTTACATTAAAGCTTTCAACAAACCAGTTAACATAAAAACAAGAACAAAACCATATCGCCGGTGAACGGGGCGCACCAGCTTTGCTTTGGTGGCAATACGGTTTTGTTCTTGTTTTTATGTTAACTGATTTACTGAAGGTCTTAATGTAACATCTCTTGAATGAATTGCCAAAATAAAACAAAAACAAATTCCATTATATAGGCACATTAGTGAATGTAAGTTGTCTGATTGTCACAGATGTACTGATATGTCAGAGAACTGATTACTAACAAGATGACGAACGCAATGTGGTGGTTTGAGAAAACCAGTTAGACGAAATAATGCCATCTTACCCAGCAAACATAACCAAATGCCACTGAATATCAACTCATCCGGCAGAGTGCAAAAAGGCAACCTAAACGCACATGCTCTTCAGCTTTCGTTGAATTTTGAGAGAAACTTGCACTTTATAAAATAGGTCAGTTTTGAAAACATCGCGGGTTATAAAGAGTCTGCAGACAATACTTCAACTTGAATACCAATGCATGTATTTGTGCGGAACAAGAACGCTTAATGGCGGGCGAATTGTACACCATGTTAAAATGTAAACGTGGAAGAGATATTGAATGAGAACAGATGAAAATGCGGTTGTTGAATCATTCCAAAAATCTGCAACCTACAGACGAAAGAATTATTCTCTTACGTTTCTATTTCAATTCGAAATCATCTACGTGAATTCACAGTAGCACAAGTAGAAACAAGAAATTAAACAAGTAAACTCAGCTAGTACAGAAATGACTAAAGGATTAGTAACATATTCTGCCGCGTACCCAAATAACACACTAAAAATAAGAGAAAGTAAAAGAACAACAAAAAAAACAGAAAAGGAAGAAGAAAAACACAACTAAATATTTGAAATGGAGTTGATGTTCACATGTACAATGTTGCCCAAGCATGAAAAAAAATCATGAAGCGGGCGCTGCATCTAGATTAAAAGATACATTTATCTGGCTTCAACTAGCTGCACAGAAATACATGAAAATTTTATCTAGCTTCAACTGGGTACAACTAGTTGCTATCGATTAATCGGGCAATTCATTGCTCGATTAATTGGCCCATGCAGTGGCCGTTTCAGCTAGTACACAATTTCAATCAGCATGCAGCTAGATAAATGTACCTTTTAATCTAGTTAATTTACGGCCTGGCCAGCTAACTCTACCTGCGTACGTAATTCCGTGACGTTTTTCTATGATTTTGTTTTATTTGCAGAAATTTTTGAAAAAGTCAGAACTCAAAAGTAAATAAACCATTTTGTAGACA